TGACTTTCTGCATTTCCGACAGCTCCAGTGATGCCGAAGCTAACTTTGCATAGCAAAGCCCTATAGTCTAGCCCAGTGGCTCCCAACCGCAAATGACCATTGGGATCACCTGGAAGGCTTTTAAAGATTCAGATGCTCAGGCCACACCCCAGACCACTTAAATCAGATTCTCTAGGAGTGGCAGCCAAGCATCAGCATTTTTCAAAGTTCCCAGGTGATTCCGATGTGCAGCCAGGATTGAGAAGCCCACTCTAGACCTGCTCAGCTCACACTCCTTTACCCTGAGGAGAACGAGGCTGGAGAGAGGCCGGGGCCTGCCTAAGGTGACACAGCAATGAGGGAAAGGCTTGGGGCTGTGGGCCAGAGAGCTTTCCTCTCTCCTGTCATACATCATGGAGCAGGAAGAGGCAGGTAGGGCTGGGGGTGGAGGAGAGCAGGGACTCTGAACTTCCCAGATTCTGGGGTACTCTCCAAGCTGGGCCCTGGGAAATTGTTATTTGTGTCCCCCATGTGTCTCCAGCCCTCACGGTTCACTAGAAAGTGTCATCAGGCCTCCAACTGCCCATCGGGTATGCAGAGCAGATTATCACCCCATTCCATTCGTAAGTGGGAAGTCAAGTTTCAGAGAGGCCAGGTGACTTTTCCCAGGGCACAGCCATCTGTCATTTGAGGCCTCCTGCTTTGTGGAAGCTCCAACCTTTCCCTTACTGATTCTAAGACACATTGCCCCTCCTTTTCCCATTTTAAAGTTTCTAAAATTGGGTTGTGTCTGACAAATGATGTCAAAAAAACATTCGGGCCACCGAGCCAGACAGTAAAGTGATGTGATTGTTCCTGGCATAGTGTAGAAGGTGGCTATTCACCTGCATGTTATTGAATTGGTAGCATTACACAGGTGAGGTTTCATCTTAATTTAGACCCCCAGGTGGTGCTTAAAATGCCTTTGAAAGATCACAATGCAGCACTGAAACAAAAAGCTGCAGAGAGATATGACTGTCACAATGCCAGGCAGTGCGGTTAAAGGACATGGAAAGGGCTGACTCCCTCGGAATAGTTTACAGACTTTATAAGGCAGGGGAGGCTCCTACCACCAAAGCATTTGAGAACTGTCCTACTTCGCCATGTCCTGACTATATGGCCTTGGGCAAGTCACCAGGTCTCTCTACGCTTCATTTTCTTCTTGGGAAAGTGGGATGAAACACCTCGAGGTATTCTGAGGATTAAATGAAATAATTCACACAAAGCATAGAGCCTGGCGCCTGGCACATGGAAAGTGCTCCCGTGGCCCCAAGTGGACACAGCCAAAAACGGGGCCATGCAGGATTTGAACCCAGGCAAGCTGGCTCCAGCTCCCATCCCCTGATCCACTCTGCTCCACTGTCTCTTGGGTCCTGTGAATTTCTCTCCTTTCCTGCCCCACCCCCGCCCTACGCCCTCCCCTTCTCCTTCTCCCAGCCTCTTGCCCTTGGTATTGGCAGCTCATCATGGCCATGTGGCAATTCCTTCCCTTCCCGCTGGCTGCCCGCACCCACCCCGCCTCTTGGCCTACCCTCCTGAGGCTCTTGCCACATTCCACAGTCAAGCAACCCCTCCCTGCTTCATCCTGCAGCCCGGGGAATGGGCCTCTGCTTCTTCCCCCCAACATGTAGCTACCTCATCTTTTCCTTCTGTAGGGCTTTCCTCTCCGGGCGACCGCATGACAACAAGAAGCCAGTGTTGGAGTCAGACCTAAGGGTGGGGTCAGTTTACCAGCATTTATTCAGTGCCTTCTGTGTACCAGGCATGGTGGGACCTGGGACAGTAGCCCTCAAGGACAGCTGTGTGTATTTACCAGTGTGTGTAAAAGGCCCAGAATGCACAAGGCTATCAGCAAGTGCTGGCTTCCTGCCCTCTTCTTTCTATTTTTGAGATCTTTGTTCGCATTCGGAAAGAACCAACGAGGGAAGTTGGGACCAGCCTTACTCACCAGAGAAACTGTGGTACGGAGAGGAACAATGACTTGCCCTGGGCAGTGCCTTGTGCTGGCCATGGTGCCCAGGCTTCCCAGTGCCCGGCTCTCAGCCCTGACCCTGGACTGACATGCTGAGTGAACTGCCCCCAACCTAGTTGTTTGGAAGCCCTTGACCCCAGCAGCACAAATGAAGTTTGATCAGAGAAGGAAGTTTGATCAGAGAAGGCCCACAGCACACACGTACAGTCAGCTTTATTTCTTTCCATGCTGAGAAATACAGAGGGGTAACCTGGTGAGTGTGGTGCCGGTGGTGAGGGGTAGCTCTTGCTGCTCCCTATGGGACACGGGGAGAGGCTGGGTCAGCTCCCCAAGCTGGGGACAATCGTGTTCATGCAGTCAGCAGCTGGACCCACAATGGAGCTGGGAAGGGCCAGTTCCAGCTTCAGCAAGGCCTGGCAGTGCCAGGCTGCCTGTGGGGTCAGTGTGGCAGGGACCCTCCCCCCACCCAGTCTTATCTCTGAAGGGTTTCTTGTCCTCAGGCCCTGTACTCCTCTCTGCTGGAGAGGCTGGTCTCGGGGCCTCTGCTCCTTCATACACCTTGGAAACCTCTGAGCTACAACCTTGGTACGACTAGAAAACTCTCGGGTTGTTCTTGCCTGAATGAAAGAACGTTCCAGCTTGCGCTTATCCCTGTGACTGTCTGCTGGTGGCTTCTCTCTTTCTCAACTGTTCTGGGTTTTGAGTGTGAACTAGTGTGTGTATGTATGGGTATGACTGCGGGGGAGGGGCAGCTCTGGTTGCGTGTGACAGTCCCAGTGCCTACAGGATGCAGACTCTCATCTCTGCCATCCTTTCCCCCTTGAGGCCATGCCTAAACTGTCTGATTTGTTTCTCTCTTCTCCATGAAATGTTGAGGCAGAGGACCCCTGGGGCCTGCTGGGAGACCATCGATGCCTGACCCCTCCTTCCAGAGCTGGGGCCTGTGAATGTCAGACTCCATAGACCTCACATCTCCCCTGGCCTGACCTGAACTTGCAAGTGCCGCAAATACTCTGGGCTCACCCCCTGTGTCCCCCAGCAAACGGCATTTCTATTTTGGCCTCAAAGGCCCCATAAAGCAAACCCAGCCAGCCCTTCCTTTAGGATTGGAAGAGGCTGGAGTTTATTTCCTGGTGGGGACTGACTCTGGAAAGCCTGGCCCAGATGGATCTGCCCAGGGCCCCTGGGACCTGCACCCTCCCCACCTGGTGGTCACACGGTCACTCCTAGAAGGCTCCCTTTGGACCCAGAGCCTTTCCTGGCAGACAGAGCCTCTACACTAACAGGCTCCCTCCCAGGGGCCTCTGAGGAGGGTGGGGGGCACTGGTAGGGGCCCCAAGAGGAGGCATGAGGGTCCTGAATGGGCTCAGGGAAACATTCTTGGCCAACCTGGGCCCATTCTGGCTGTGTGTGGGGAGCCTGCCCTCCCGTGGGGCACAGTAACCCTGGCTGCTAAGTAGAGCCTCCCAGGGCAAGAAAGCCTGGAGCATCCCACTCCGAGATTCTGGAAGCCAAAACCAGTGGGGAAGGTTGTGTGCAGGAGAGGCCCCTGTGGGCTAGGCCTGTACCAGAGAGATGTCTGGGGAGAAGCTGGGGCCACCAGCCAGGTAGTAGGCCCAGGAGCCCTGCTCGATCCTTTCAGGTATCTCATTAGGTCCTGAGACAAAGGTCATAGTGTCCAGCTCCCTGCCCCCAGGCAAGTGAGTGTATTCCCAAACCCAGGGCCCCCGACTCTCCTGCAGACTGGATCCTTCAGCCAGGCTCTTTCCTTAGTCTTGGAATTCTCTAGGCTGAGAAACAACAAATATTCATAAAAACTCTCTGGCCTACTCCCCTACAGGCAGCACAGACACTACCTAGGAGCCCACGGGAAGGCCCTCCCAGGGCGAATCCAAAGCCTCCTCCAGGGGAAGCCTCTTCTGTGTGGATGGCCAGGAGCACAGGGTGAAGCAGAGAGCGTTCGATGCAGCTGAGCTGATAGCCAGGAGCCCACACCCCACCTGAGCCACTCTGCATGAAGCCACAGGTTTGCACCCTAGACTGTGGGGGGCCATGGCAGGAAAGAGCTCAGGCCCAGGCTCCTCCTCACCGGCTGATGTAGGGAGGTTGTGGGGTCATGACCCAGGGGTTCTCAGTTGGTGCCCCAGGCTACAGCACATGCAGGGAACAACAGGTGGACTGGGTCATCCTGGGAGGCTTGCTGGGACCGTAGCTCTCGGCAGAGATGCTCCTGAGGCCAACAAGTTTGGGAGAGGTTCATGGGTCATACTGTCCCTATTCCTTCACCAACATTCTTATCGGCACCTCTACCCTGCAACGGAGGATTGAAATGTGGCTGTCACCTCTTTCCAGGGCAGCTGCACATCTGCGTGCTGGAAGTTCTAGGACACGTGCTGAGTGGCTGCTCGGCCTCTGAGGTCAGGGCATCGGCTGGGGTTGCAGCAAGCATGTGGCACAAGGCATGCAAACAGTCTTTTTTTATCTCTCCTCAAGAAAAATACAAAGAAAGTCCCATATGTCTTTGCTCGTGGTCATGCAGGGAATGTGCTGCTTCTCTCCCACCATAGTCTGGCTCTTTGCGGATCTAGTTTCTTCTCCTTCTGGCAAGATATGCTACTCGGTAAATGCCAGGAAACTGTGGGGATGAGAAACAAGTCAGAACACTGGAGTCAAAATGCTGGGCTGTGTCCATGAGATTAAACCGCGTTGTTCTCTGGTTTCACAGTAAATGCAGTTTCCTTCCTTTCTTCCTCTCGTTTTACTCATCTGATGTAGGCTGATAGTGGAGTGACGTGGGGGTTTCCCTCCGAGTTTGCGCTTTTGGAGCTCAGGGACAGGTGGGCCCTTGGCAGTCACTGTCCTGTCCTCTGTTGTATGTGGGGTGTGTGGGTTGGGAGCATTCCAGCTGGCCAGAGCCTGCCTCTGCCGGCAGCATCCTGGTCACTTTTATTTCTTCTGAACTGTAAAGAAAAGAACAGTGTGTCAGAGCAGAGCTCAGAACATGGAGTCTTCAGGTCCCCGTTTTGAGGAGTTGGATGTTTTGAGGATTTCCTAGCGGAAAATGACAACAAGGATCATTTGCTTTGGGGCTCTTGGTGGAACTGAACTCCTGCCAATGAGAGGACTGCAGTCTGCGTGACTTGTTCCGAGCTGAGCGTGTGACCTCTGAACACAGAACGATCTATATTTGGATTTCTTAGTAAAAGCTAAACAATTTCCTTTGCCATTTGAACTCAGTAGTTGTCACTTGCCTTCGAAAGAGTCGTGGCTAAAATGACAAGCAGCAGCAGGACGAAGGAGACTGAGGCACCATAATGATACTGGGGCTAATGCCAGGGAGAACAGGTTCCTGCCGCTCACGTACCTGCGTGTCTACCAGAGTCAGAGAGATCATGGAATGTGCCTCAGTCCAGACAGATAAAAAGCGGAGGATGTGTGTTTTGAACCCAGGCAGGTGGATTAGAAACCTGAACTCTTCCCTCTCCTCAGTGGTCAAGGTTGCCCAGGACCCCACGGCTAAATCTTAGGCTTTTGGTCCCAAGTTGAGTACTTCATACTCTAGACCAGTGCCTCCCAAACTTGAATACATGAGCTGGGAATCTTAGTTAAAATGCAGACTCTGATTCAGTGGGTCTGGGTCGGGGCCCGAGATCGTGCATTTCTGACACGTTCCTGGGCTCAGCAGCCACTGCCGCTGTCCGTGGAGCACATTTGGAGTAGCAAGTCCTTTAGGGGAAAAGCTTAGGTCGATCACTGCAAGGGACAGAGATCCCTGGGGGCTTCCCAATGCAAGAGTGTGAAGGGACGGAGATGGAGGATGCTGACCCGTATAGTCCAGAAGCCGCATGGACTTTGTGAACAGCTGGGAGTCACCCCGAAAAACGATTCCCCGCCTGGATAACTTCCCTGGGCCACCTCTGGGTGCTCACAGAGGTGTTACTTCCTGACTTCCACCACGTGCATGGTTTACTTGGGGCATGTCACTGCCATCTCAGCTTGTGTGACAAGCCCACAGTTTATAGACAGTCACATCCATTATCTTGTGTTACACTCACAAAAGCCTCTGTGTTAGAGGCTTCTTCCTAGTACTTTAGACATAAAACTTGTGAGGCTCAACCAGACACCGGCCCAGGACCCAGGGCCGTTGGTGCTTCTGACTCCTAGGCCCATCCTCTTCCCCACTTTCCTTTTGGTCCACTGTGGCATAAGACAATTCAGAAAGCCAGTCCCATTCAGCTGGGAACTGGGTTGCTTTTCTGGAGTAAGAGGATGAGCTCTGGCCCCCATGGGCCCTTACCTTCTCCCCGCTCCACTGCCCCTGCCCCAGGAGGCCAAGCTACCCCCTTAGCTTCCCTCACACCGAGCAAGCTGGCATATGGCTGGGCCTCACCTGCGAAGTTGACAGTCGTGGCCACGATGATGATGATGATCCCCATGATGATAAAGATGATGCTGAGCAGCCGGGCCAGCCGGCCCAGCCTCCGGGCTCCGTCCACGTCTCCCTGTTGCACGCTACTTCGAGACTACAGAGAGAGGGTGGCAGAGACCTCAGGATGGCTGTCCTTGGCAGCCCTGTGGGGGCCCCCTCACCCAAGCTTCCAGAACACACCTGGTCCCCACTGCAGCCTGCAGTCCAGCAGCTGTACCTAAGATGTGGAAGCCAGCTCCTCCTGGAGAAGTGGCCAGGACTCAAGGGGTCCAGACCTCTTGTGGAGACCCCTAACCAAGCCTGCCCCTTGCTGGCTGGGGACAGCTGGAAGCAGAACCAAGCAATGCAGAACTACAGAACCACGGGGTAGTACGGTGGAGACCGAGAGCCTGAGAAGGTGGACCAGGTACAGGCCATGTTGAGCTGGTGCAAGCAGATAAGCCAGGCTCCTCCAGACCCCCAGCCAAAGCTCACTGCTGCAGCTGTACCGAGATCCTGAGGCAGCCCCTGTGGCTTTTTCAATGGCCGGACAGGCCTGCCTTCTTTCCTCTGTGAAAGCCCCGTTGCCACAAAAGAAAAAAATCACAGGTCCTCCCTTTCTACCCAGGAGCCACGTCTTTGTTCAACCAAGCCCACTTCACAGATCACACGAGAAAGGCAGCTGTCTTGGGTTTGAACCAGGAATGCTGGGACTGGGAGGAGCCATACATGGCTTCACAGGGGCCCCATTTGATATATTTCACTCTTTCTCAGTGTGCTTGGTTTTTTCCTAGCCCCATTTAATTTGGTTAATTGGGTGGCTGAGGGTGGGGATGGACAGTCTGACAGAGAGGCTCCTCGGAGTTCCCGGGATGGCTCAGTAGGAAGCATGTCCCAGGCGTCTCCGCGGAGGACCTTCCTGCCCATGACAGTGCGGGCGCCTACCAGCTGACCAGGCTGGTCTACGACCTGATTCCTCCAGCTCTGGAACTCCTGGATGTTTCTTGGGCTTTGAGAATAGGCACAGCCAGGAGTCCACTAAAGCTATGACTGCTGTCAAAGCCTCAGTCCGCTTATTTGGTTATTTATTTTCTGATTATTCGAGGCTCCTGAGTTCATCATAGAAATACAGTCAAGTATCTTGATGATGATGATGATGATGATTCACTGAGCCTTTACTTTATGCCAGGCTACTTGCTAAGGACTGTACCTAAATTATCTCCTTTAGCCTCATAATCATCTTATGAGATTGACAGTATTGCCCACTTTTGAAGAAGCCGAAGTTCAGAAAAGCGACCCTTCCCCTCTCTGTTTTTTTCATGTGGGTGCCCCTCTCCCTAGGGTCTGTCCCCTTCACCTCTCTGAATTCTAACCAAACCCCCATCCCCACCCCATAGTTCCCTGTTCCAAACTCATTCCAGGCCAACACCACCCTCCTGCCACAGCCGTGACATCAAACTTGCTTTGCCCCAAACCATAGCTTCCTACTTTCCAGATCTGCTCCTAGCCTTGGGCTCCTCCTTCTGTTTGTCCAAGCACCAGTTACTGGCCACAGCCTGGAGTCCTCCCATGGGCTCAGTCCCAACCCCTCCCTCATCCCACCCTACTAATCAATTTCCTTTCCTAGTCAATTCCATTGCAACTCTCCTCCCTGCACCTGCCCTAATAATGCCAGGAGCCACTTCTCACTTGAGCCATAATAACAGCCTCCTGAAGCTCTGTTCTTCTCTATTCTGTTCTCCCCACCACCCTTTCACTCCACAGGTATTCATGCCAGGCACTGCACTAGGGCCCTGGAATACAGCAGTGTGCAAGAGTCCCGGTTCCTGTGCTCACAGAGCTTAGATGAAGAGGATGGCTTCCATTGCGATCACACAAATAGAGGTAAAATTGCAACTATGGGTCGTGTTACAAGGGAGCGGTACGCAGTATCATGAGAACTTATAAAAGGGAGAGAATTGAGAAGACTTCCTGGAGGAAGGACATTTGGATTGAGATGTGAAGGATGAGTAAGAATTAAATAGGTTTTAAAAGAGAGAGAGAGAGAGAGAGAGAGAGAGAGAGAGAGAGCGCGAGAGAGCGAGAGAGAGAGAGAGAAGGAGAAAGGGAAGGGAAGGAAGGAAGGAAGGAAGGAGATAGTTCCAGGCAAAGAGAATAACATGTGCAAAGGCCCTGAGGGAGGCCCTGCATGGCAAATATGTAGATGTTCATTACGTCGTTGACTGAAGCAAGCAGGGGAGACTGGAGGAAGGCCAGTGCGGATGGAGCTGAGAGAGTGAGGAAGAGGAGATGGGTGGGGCCGGGCCAGGCGGGCTCTGCTCACACAGAAAGGAGGCTGGTTCTTATCTCAGTGAAAATGTAAGGCTGGGACAGGAGAATGGTTTCCAAAAGACCCCTCTGGTTGTAGTGTGAGAGCAGAGAGGAGGTGGGGAATCAGGGCCTGATGCAAAAGTTCAGCAAGATTATGGCGGCTGAGGTAATCACTCCCTCCTAGCACCTTCCCATGGCCCCCCACTGTCACCAGAACAAAGTCCAAATTCAGGTTACCTTTGCATTTCCTGATTATATCCTCTAGTATTCTCTTCTACAGCCTCTGGGCCCAGCCAGTTTGATCCTCTCAAGGTAGGGCACTAACTTCTGTATACCTTCGCTATTTCCCCTGCCCGCACTCCTGGTCCCCTGCAATGCCACATGTTCACCTCCTCTCTATCTTTCAATGGCTGGTTTCAATGTCACCCACTTATGGAACCCACCAAGATTCTTCCACCACCGTTGAAATAATAATAATCCCTAACATTATTTGAACATTTGCCTGTGTCAGGAACTATGTTAAGTGCTTGCCATCCATTAGAGCATTTCATCCTAACAGTCCTATGAGTTAAGATTGTTATTAGGCCATTTTACAGAGGAGGAGCTGGAGTTGAAGCATAGGGCACCATGCAGGGAGGTGGTGTGAGAAGCAACGGGAGAAGTGAAGAAAGGCCAGATCAAGAAGGACCCTGACTCTCACAAAACTACCTGGATTTTGTCCTATAGGCATTGGGGAGCATACAACTTGGTGAGACAAATAGAGGATTTCTTCAACACAGGAAAAGAAAAAACTCAGTGAAGAGGGAGAAGGTGAGAAGACCAAGGAGTAATTGATGCCCCAATGTCCCAGAGCAGCAGAGAAAGGCTGAGGTATAAATGTGAGCACAGGGATGAACTATGAACTCCTGTCCTTGGAGATTGGATGAATGTGGGTACAGGTGCACTCACACCTGGACAATTCTGTAGGTGGGTCTGGGCAGGAAGCTGTATGTTTATGCTTCTGGACCTCGGAGTTCTCAGGGACAATGGACCAACGTCATCCGGTGAGAGATGAAAGAGAAGATGGGTCTGGCTTGAGGAGGAGGCATGGGGTGGGGCTCAGGCAACGGCCCACCCTGAGACTCACCAGTGCCTTGGGACATGGCAGGGACCCAACCGGGAATAAGTATAGCCTCTAGCCCCTCAGAAGGGCAGTCTGGATACAAGCACAGGTTCTGGAGCCAGACCTTCTGGATGCCTGTCCCAGCTCCATCATTTGCCAACTGCGTGACCATGAATGAGTGGCTTACCTTTTCTAAGCTTCAATTTCCTCATCAGATAAAAAAGTTACTTACCTCATTGCATTGTTGCGAGGATTAAATGAGATAATACAAGTAAGGGGGACTAGCATGATGCCTGGCAATAGTAATTACTCAATAAATATAGTAATATAATATTTTTGTCGCTGTTATCAGGAGATTCCTTTTCCTCCATTGAGTCTGAGAAAGAAAATGGATAATAACACATCAACCCCAGCAGAGAAGGGAGAATCCGTTCTAGGTGGAAAGCTTATGAGGCAGATCTTGGTGAAATTACTAAGATCATCCCTTTCACTTTCAGAAATGTCCCAGTTAGGATGTTATTTTCATGTTCACCATGTGTAGAAGCCACGACTACTCCTTTTCCTCTTTCTGTCTTCCTCCTGCTCTCCCCTGCACCCAGTCTGGTTGTGATGGCAGTGGAATGGGAGCATGCGGGAGGCTCCTCCTGGTATCCGTCTCCTCTGTGGAGCCTGATACTTCACTTCCTCTACTCTCATCTTTGATGCCCATCCTCAGCAAGTCTCCTCACTCTGGCAGGGTGCACCATGAGTAGTAAAGCCTCATTGCATGGCTGTTTCTTACAGCTTCAATTTCTGGGAAAGCATCGTAGCATCTCCCCTCCTGGACTTCCTCTATGTCTCTCCCCACCTCAAGTACAACCAGGTAAGAATTCCTGACGTTTCTAATGTCCTTCATGTCTGTCTCTACGTCTCCAGCTTCAACTCCACTGCCCTAGCTCTAGCTCACGTCTTCGATGTGTTCCATCTGGAGATTTCATTGGCCTCCGCCTCACTTGTCTCTCTGCTCCAGCCTTGCCCACATCCAACCTCTTCCTAACAGCCAAGGTGAGAGGTCTTTGAAATATAAGCCTGGTCACATGACTCCCTATAAAACAGATACATTTTTATGCCTCGGTGCTTTTGTACGTACTGTCGTCTCTGCTGGAATGCCTTTCCTCCTTATTATATTGCCATCTCAACAACTCCTCCTCCTCCTTCAAGACTCACCTCCAGTAAAACTTTCCTTGGCTCTAACAAACAATTAATCGGCCCCTCTATGGGGCTCCCATAGCATCTTACACTTCTCTCTTTTTCTCCCTTATCACTTTGTGTTATTATTTCTTGTGGCTGTGTCAGACTCTCTCTTTAGACTGGAAGCACCTCGAAGGCAAGGACCATGCATCCTCAATCTTGGTATTCCTCTTATGGAACATAAGGACAGACACTAGTAGGAATTCAGTAAATAAAATAAAGAATAAAAGAGGAGAGAAAAAGAAAAAGAAGAGAGTCTATTTTCTAACCACTGAGCTTAACCAGTGGAATGCTCAAAGTTAATAGATTTGTTAAAGAAATAAGGGCAATGGGTCCCACAGGAAAGATAACTGGTATCTGGGCTTTGGCCCCACCCACTAACCTATGCCACTTCCTGCCAAGGTCGCTGAACTCAGGACTTTTTTTTTTTTCAACACCAAGGCAACATTGAGAGAGGGAGGGGGCAACATACA